CACTTGCTTGTGATTTGACCAGTCTTGTTTAAGGTACTCCATTACCAAAACGTCTTGAACTTGCAGTTCATTTGTACACTGAATTTGGCAGTAAACACCTTGTTGAGGATATCCACTACATGGGATACTAAATCTCATATTTAGAGTCACGCACTTTCTGTCATCCGCTGCAAACAAACCAATCGGTTCCCAGAAGGTTACAACATCAGATTGACTAGTACAAGAAAATATATTTATGTCCCCGTGATAAAGGTGAAAAGCTCATATTCGCAGTCGCCGATAATTCAGATTACAATGAAAGAACTCATGATGGAAAACGTACAACACATGCAATGACAAGTATCATTATATCCAGTAGGTGCGCCGAAGATGCGCCTTTGCAACGTCTACATAGGACAGGAAGTCGAACTTTTGATAGCAATACCTTACCTGGTGGAAGTCTTTTTGGTAATTTTAACATATAATAAACCAGTCAGTCGATCAGGACAAGTGTTTCCTCCAGTTACGTTGTACAAAATAGTCAATAGTATCACAACCGGTTGAACAAGCTAAATTGAAGATTTATTGTAGTAATCTTTTGGAAGCTGTACAGTGTTTTGTGAAGACGTATAAGAAACAAAAAGCATTCCTTATTGGAACATATTTCTGTCAGATACTTGTGATTCTCACCATACTGTTTCCAACTTTTACTACAATCCAATTATAATGGCAACTCCGACTGACTAAAAATACGGTGTATTCGGCACTACTACGCACCGAAGAAGTTATGAATACTTTAGGCCAATTATACGTTCCAGTTGTTTTTGACATAAGTCTTTTACTAAAGGGACTTGAAATTATTTGGACCGGGCGTGCAGGTGTCATTGCAGTCGAGGGGCGGTATGCACGTGCTTATGTCAAATTTTACAGGGATAGGATACATATTTGGAAATGCTGGTCACAGACAACTGTTAACAGAGTCCGGTTTTTACGCACCTGCAATTGTTACAATTATTCTTACAGGAAAGGACTTCAACAGAGGGCTAACAACTTTGAAACTTGTTGATGGAGTATACACTATACGATTTCTGAGAACTTAACCCATTACGTTATATACACGCCTTTTAACGCCTTTTTCACCCCCCATTTTGTTGTCTCAAATGGTGAAAAAATGCCTTATTTAGACCACCAACACTTGCTTTTGTTTGAGAAATGTTGTTAAAAAAAGTGACCCCTTCTGTTTGGGGGGTTTGAAGGGGGGCGGAGTCCCCCTCATCGCCAAGAAAATTTTGGACTTATGAGAGGCTATAAATTACCCCAGATTGATCAGCACTTTGAAATCAATTTTGATAGAAAAAATCAACGCAAAATAGTGATTTTTGGCAATTTTGAGATGTCCCCTCGTTGCCATGGTAACAGAAAATTTAAGCCTGAGCATGTTGTTGCAAGGGCAATGGTCCAGTCAACATTTGTGCCAAGTTTGATTAGTGTTGAAGCAGTTTTTATAGTATTATAGCAATTTGAACTTGTAATGGGAGACTTTTCAATGAAAACAGCCATTTTTCACAAAATGCTCATGAAGTAATGGGTTAATGAAAAAAATATTTTTTTTTACAAAACAACAATTTTTCTTCAAATTTATATGAAAGGCCATGTTTTAACATGAAAAAAACGCGATTTAGGGTAATTTCAAGTATTTTCATCATTTTCTGTTAACCCATTACGTTATATACACGCCTTTTAACGCCTTTTTCACCCCCCCCCCATTTTGTTGTCTCAAATGGTGAAAAAATGCCTTATTTAGGTCCCCAACACTTGCTTTTGTTTGAGAAATGTTGTTAAAAAAGTGACCTCTTTTTCGGCGCGGCCCCCCAACCAAAAGATACATCAGGGGGTTGTCAGAAGGGGGATGTGCCCCCTTCTGTTTGGGGGGTTTGAAGTGGGGCGGAGTCCCCCTCATCGCCAAGAAAATTTTGGACTTGTGAGAGGCTATAAATGACCCCAGATTGATCATAAGGTAACGTGTAACCAACGCTGAAAAGCATTTGACTCTATCTCAATCCATTGAGAAGTTGCAGCACTTTGAAATCAATTTTGATAGAAAAAATCAACGCAAAATAGTGATTTTTGGCAATTTTGAGATGTCCCCTCGTTGCCATGGTAAAGAAAATTTAAGCCTGAGCATGTTGTTGCAAGGGCAATGGTCCAGTCAACATTTGTGCCAAGTTTGATTAGTGTTGAAGCAGTTTTTATAGTATTATAGCAATTTAAACTTGTAATGGAAGACTTTTCAATGAAAACAGCCATTTTTCACAAAATGCTCATGAAGTAATGGGTTAATGAAAAAAATATTTTTTTTTACAAAACAACATTTTTCTTCAAATTTATATGAAAGGCCATGTTTTAACATGTAAAAACGCATTTAGGGTAATTTCAAGTATTTTCATCATTTTCTGTAAATGAAAAAATAATTTTTTTTACAAAACAACAAATTTTTCTTCAATTTTATATGAAGGGTTTTTGAAAAAACGCGGTTTAGGGTAATTTATTTTCATCATTTTCTGTTAACCCATTACGTTATATACACGCCTTTTAACGCCTTTTTCACCCCCCCCCCATTTTGTTGTCTCAAATGGTGAAAAAATGCCTTATTTAGGTCCCCAACACTTGCTTTTGTTTGAGAAATGTTGTTAAAAAAAGTGACCTCTTTTTCGGCGCGGCCCCCCAACCAAAAGATACATCAGGGGGTTGCCAGAAGGGGGATGTGCCCCCTTCTGTTTGGGGGGTTTGAAGTGGGGCGGAGTCCCCCTCATCGCCAAGAAAATTTTGGACTTGTGAGAGGCTATAAATGACCCCAGATTGATCATAAGGTAACGTGTAACCAACGCTGAAAAGCATTTGACTCTATCTCAATCCATTGAGAAGTTGCAGCACTTTGAAATCAATTTTGATAGAAAAAATCAACGCAAAATAGTGATTTTTGGCAATTTTGAGATGTCCCCTCGTTGCCATGGTAACAGAAAATTTAAGCCTGAGCATGTTGTTGCAAGGGCAATGGTCCAGTCAACATTTGTGCCAAGTTTGATTAGTGTTGAAGCAGTTTTTATAGTATTATAGCAATTTGAACTTGTAATGGGAGACTTTTCAATGAAAACAGCCATTTTTCACAAAATGCTCATGAAGTAATGGGTTAAGAGGTCTGGTGTGACGACAACAAAAATGAAATGCATCAAGACGTATCTGAAATGTTGACAAAGCTTCGAGGTGAAAGCAGTGTAAAATACACATGAGGTGTCGAAATTTTATAACACTCTATCTACTCATGTTACACCTTTGATTAAAGAATTATCAAAAATAAACGAAATTTTAGCGGTGTAATATCTGAATTTAACTTAAGCACTCGTTTAAAAATTATAATACGCCAAATGGAAGTGTCCATAAACAAAAAAAAAACAAGGTATCAATGTAAAGAGCACAAAAGTAAAAAATGGGAATTAGCATTCAAATTTGTTGTCATGAAAATGCAAAATTAGAATCAAATTTTATTTCTAAGTCACTTTTTTGCACTTTTTTATGAAATCCTTTTACATATTTTACATTTCTCATTTAAAAATATGTATTTTCTATCGTATGTATATGTCTAAAAAAACAACAACATAGACATCTATGAAGAAAAAGTAGGCCATATAATGATAATAAGTGTTTTTGCACAATTAAGGCGGCCATCTTGGACGCCATCTTGATTTTCTTGGTTATCTGATCATTTAGGTTGAAACGAATTTTGGTTTATGTTCTGCAGGCCCTGCAAACATTTTGCGTATAAAAGTTACTACTACCAGACGTACACCAGTGGGACCCTTTTAACAAGTCTTAGTTTCTTTTTCTTAAACATTTTTACCTTCAATATTATGCTCAAACAATCAATGAAAAAATGCTTGTAGTCTTTGTCAAGGTGTATAGTTGCAACTTTAGAGTGTTTTATTTTACAACGTCACTCACTGAAATGTCTTAAACAATTGATAAATTATTCGTACATGTCAGTTCGCTTTGAGGATTCCATGACAAAATTATTGGTATAGGAAATCTCCAGCGTTCAGAGCCTCGTTTTTGAATTAAAAAAAAAGAGTCGTGAATACCGTCTATTAATCTTCTTTAGTACATATGATAAGTAAAAAAGAAAACGGCTTCCATAGATAATTTAAAGGTGTGGCTTCAACGCCAAATGTCTGAACTTTGATCACAGATACTACGGTGATTTTGTAAGCTAAGGGCGGAGCTAATTTTTTTTGCACCAATCTGTTATTCATACAATCTTTTTAAGGAACCACAAGATGGTACTGCATGTAAAAATAAATTAGACCTATGATTTATAGTTTCAGAGAGAAAGTTTTCTTGAAAAATATTTTATTTCCAAAGATTGAGCTTTTTATTACCTATATAGAGGAAATTGCATGTAGGTTCTGCATTTATTGAACGAGTTGAATAATGCGAGCTTCTGTATTTAATTCAACGAGAGTTTCTGTAATGAACCTACACGAATATAACATTCTATTCATTTTATTCTATTTATCACATTTACCCAAAATAAAGACTGTTAAAAATGCAGAAGAGTAATTTTTCATAAACATGCTTTTAATTATAATATATTATTTTGCGCGTCTTTATACATGTACTATAATTGGATAACGCAAATGACGCGACGTCGAAATATATGCATGGCCGCGCAATACCATTTTTGCGGAGTCGCAAAATCGGGTATGTGATAAATAAATTTAGTAGAGTCTTGATCATTTAAGTATAATTAGTGTTTTAAGTTCTATATTGGATTAAGGAAGAGGGTTTGTTTAATAAACGATGTTGATAACGACTAGGAACAACATGCCATCACAATATCTAATTTATAATTATAATTTCTATAATGCTTATTTCTTATTTAATATAATATTTCAATAAATATCTTATTTGTCCGATAGAAAATGTGTTTAAAGCAAAATAGATTAAGTCTAAATCGGCATGCGTACCTTTTCCGTATTCATTGCTGCAGTTATGTGGCGTTCACTTAATTTCCAAGATTCTGCATACTTCCTACTTAACCAGTCCTGTTTCTTTGGACAAAACGTCTCTGTTTTCTCTGGTTTTCTTTGTAATTTACTCATTAACTTTTTCAGACATTTAAATTTGGAGGTAAACTTTTTCAGCCATTTAATTCTGCGGGTAGCTATTCCTTCTAACTCTAGAGTGAATTTTACCTGTAATAGTTTCAACAAGGAATATGCAACATGAGTGACAACACAGATACATCGTTTTTTTCCTATTTGACTAAGTCTGATGAATGAATGAATGAAACAAAGAATCGTAATTCTTAAGCCGTTTAAAAGAATATATCAAAAATATATTCCATATTTTACAAAGAAAATTTTTCCAGTGAATATTTTATCAATACAATGTATATATTACGAAGCAACAGAAGCAAGTACATAAACAACAACATCAACAACAACAACAACAACAATATAATTATGCAATAGAGACCAAAACTTTCAGATAAGAAAGCTCAACTTGAACACAATATTTGGCTGTAAAGATACGCTCCTTCATTGTTTTCAATCTTCTTACGTTATGCATGAAAAATTGAGATGCAAACTGTTGTAAGGTCGTTGTTTCTTTTATGCTTCCAAAGGAATTACTTTACATAGCATAGTCTTATCTTTTTTTTAATAATTAAATAACATTAATATGCCATTGTCAAGATTAAATTATAAACGTGATCTTTTTTCACACTTATCAGTAAAATATTTTACCTGCATTCGTTTTTTAGCATGATCAGCCTTTTTCTGGAATTCTTGTATATTGCTTACTGCCAAGCCAACCTTAAAATAAATGTAAAATGATATTTACATAAACACATAAATTTTGATTCTGTTCATTGTTTTTCTTTTCCAAATCGTTGATAAATGAATATCATGTTATGAACATGAAAAGTAGTAGGACAAGAGAAACGACCAGTAGAACATAATTATTACTAAAATATACTTAATGGATGAATAATGTGTAAGGACATTTGCAATGTGTTGATTAATCTAATTATTATAAGCTATTTCTAATAATTTACCAGTAAATTGATGACAACAATGGCCATCAGCAACATGAAGCCGTAGAAAAATACATAGCTAATTATATCATAATGCGCTGTTTCATCCAAGAAAATGGTGACGAAGTCCGGACCACCAATCATCATTGAAGTAGTTTTCATCAACGATATCCAAAATGTACTAAAATGTTGCTAAAATGTAGATAGACACTGTTAATAAAGGACATTCATCAATCATAAGGAAAAATTAGCTTTGTTACATGTACGAGGGTTGCCTTAAATACTTCATTCAAGTTTAATTATTAAACATATCACACACTATTCATTTTCTTGAGTTAAAAAACATATTTACTATCGTTAATACCTTACCGAACTGCAAATAGTACGGAAAATACAAAAATCACTATTATTTAATTTTTTTTTAAACAAGAGCGATTGGCGATCACATGTGTCGCCTGAATATGACCATTTAAGCAGTTTCATTGAGGGGCGATTTGACAGTAATTTTCTATATGTCGAAATTAATTTGTAGCATGTCGAAGAAACTGTCAAGCAAGGGATTCAACAAAATCATCAACGGGCCCGTAATCCTGAAACATTTCATATAAATTGCAGTAGTAAGATAAGAGAAGTTGTCCGAAAAAACTTTAAACATAAAAAATCAAATGATATTTTTTCAAACATGTGGATGAACCTTTATATTTTTCTTAGATTTAGATATATACATGACTTGAATGCCGTTTAAAATGAAATATTTGCAAAACCCTGTTATTTAGATAAAAAGAGTTATCGTCCATTGATACCTATCATTTTGTCAACTTACCTGGTTTTGAAACAAACAGTGGAAGGTGATAGCAAATGCTACAATCAGAAGTGAAAAGACAAGAAAGAACTTTGTAAACATCTTGATGATTCGTTTCAACATTACAACATATATTCCAATCCAGTCAAATTTCTGGATGATGAATAACATATTGGTCCAAGCAAAGAACACAGAGATCGTCCCACAAATCCATTGAAATGGCTGTAAATATTTCGATTGGGCGATAGAATATAAAAAAATGAATTTAAAATGCATTACAATTACATTAAACCACTCATAATTATTCTAATTCTCAGGTTGAAATAAAACAACATGAAAGGTACAGAAATTGGAAGGTGACTGACTGCCTTTGAAATTTTCAGAATTAAAACATCAGACATTTATGTACTTGAATCAAATCAAATGAAGATATTAAGTTAGAGTAACTTTTTTAATTACAGACAGACAATATCAAAATATATAATAATCGATTTCGTTTATTTTTTATAATTGACATAATTATGTAGCAATTAAACATACCGTCATGTATCCAACACCGTTGTCACTTCCATTTATATTCCACGCAAAAATAAATGCAGTAATGCATGTTATCCATTGTACGATATTTTCTATTTCTTTCAGATATAACCACACCTTACCAGAGAACATTTCTTTCAATTCGATAAACTGTAAAATATAGGAAAATGAAGAAGAATAAGTACAGTATTTCTTTCGGCGTATAAAAATGTTACAAAAAGTGAATTAAAAATTCAACTAGTTCCAATACAAAATTGAGGTTCCCAGTCAATAAGCATAAATGTTAACATCAAGAGAATGGCGAATATTAAATCGAAATTTAAAAATAAATCAGAAAACGAAACCAGACAAAATTTATGTTACCTCAATCAAGATAACTACAACAGCCGTGATGAGGATTCCGGGTTGTGCGATCTTTGCAAACTTTGGAATTTTCTCATTTCCAAACACTGGCCAGTTAACATCAGTGTAAGATGGTGAACTTTATTGCAATATGTAGATTATATTCATGATAGAAACAACAACAAAAAAAAACATTCTAAGTTTAAATGTGTACCGTATCGCAAAAATTACTTTCTATACTATACTATGCTATATATAAATTAACGCCCTAATCCAAAGAGAGAGAAAATATACTTATAAAATTGATATTCAATAGTATCTGAATTTAACAGCGTTAAATATGATACAGGAATCGTATTTGTCTCGTTTTACGACTCGCCCACGGCCATTTATCTAGTTGTAGGTCAGTGTTGTAAGACAGTATTGAACAAAACAGTGCTGGGTACGGTGGCCTAAAAGTGACAGTTGCATTTTTTTTGTTTCGATGCTTATGTTTTGTTTTGTTTTTCTTACTTATTTTGTTTTGTTTTACGTACAATTTTTGTTTTGTTTTTCGTACTTATTTTTTTCAGTTTTGCATAGTACATATTTTACTTTGGTTTTGCATACATATTTCATTTTAGTTTTTCGTACATACTTTTTTAAAGTTTTGCTTACATATCTTTTGTTATTTTTTCTTACAAACATTTTTAGTTTCGATACATATTTTATTTTAGTTCTGCATACATATTTCAATTTAGCTTTGCATTCATTTTATTTTAGTTTCTCGTGCATATTTTAGGCCAATTTAAACAGCCTTAACATCACATAACAGTCCATAGTTGAATATAGACGTTTGGATAGTTACGCCATTTGTAAAACACCATTTTCAAACACTTCGCCATCTGTAAATTACAGTACCCCATTTGCAAACGCCATTTGTAAATAACAATATTTTTTTTTGGAGGTACAAACTTTTTAGTATATATGTAGTCCGTGGTAACCCAAAGAAAGGTTCTGCATATGGTCTTGATGTGCTTAACATTTGACACAAAGTGCATGGAAATCCTTCACGGGGTTTTGGAATTAAGGAGCGGACATGAAATCCAAGTTAGAATCCTTTGACCTGTAGATAAGACCCCGACCTTGAGCCGGCACACCTGGCATATCAGTTCTGCACATAATCTTAACAATTGATCTAAGTTTCATAAAAATCTTTCAAAGTTTAAAGCATTTTTTCTAAACCAGTGGGATTATAAAGACCTATTAAGATCTTTTATTCTGCATTATTGTAATACACCAGTCATTTGTAACCACCTCCCTCGCCCCCCCCCCCGGGGAGTGCGGGTTAAAACAGAACCGTGTTTTGACGTTTGCGTTGTTCCGAGGCATAAGGCAGATATCTTATTGTCTGCGTATCCCCCTCTGGGCAAATACCAGCAGTCGGCTTGGTTTAAAATCAATGCCCCCACCCGCTATTCTCAGGGGGTGGGGTTGAGTCGTGCATATTTATAGAATGATAACTAATCAACAATCACAATCCCTTTCCTTATAGACACTACTGTTACGCACCGCGCTTGGTGGTGTGAGCCTTAACAGTGATCTAGTATGATCTCTCTTTAAATGAACTGTCAGGATCTGTTTCAATATGACTTGCAGTCTGTTTAGCAACCTATCAATGTGAGCTGGAAGTTGACTTTTTTTTACGTAGGCTGATCACAGTTTCAGCTGCTCACCGTGACTGTAAATACTAGGTCCGACTTGAATGCTTGCTCGGTTGGTCGCTTCTTGACGTTTGGACTTCCAACTATTTAATTATTATTTAAAAAAAAAAAAAAAAACAATCTTGGGAAACACCTTAACTAAGCAAAAGGAAAACAATATTTCTAAAATCAACAAATTTATTGCAAGATAAATATTATTTCACAATTTATGAACATGTACAAAAAACAAGAAGAAAGAAAAATTTCGTTAAATAAAATATTCTAAGAATAGAAATATGTCATAAAACACGGTGGACAGCCGCGGCGTAACCACTAAAATGACGCGTATCTGTCAATTCCCAAGATAAAATAAAAATGCAAAAAATATTAAGTATATGCAGATGTAATAAAGAGAAAAATTTATATTTCCTTTAAGTCAAAGAAGAAATTTACTTGTTTTTTACGTTAAAAAAAATAATGCACACCTTTTAAATTCAGTCAAGTATTTTAAGCTATCAAATTTCAAGTGAACGATCAAAACACGGTGTACATGAACATTTCGAAGTTGGAAGACCCGACTGAAGGCAGACGGGGCTATTTTATATGCCACAGTCCCCACAAATTCCACAGCTTGTGGAAAGAACGCTCCACAGACTTTTTTGTGGGGCCCACAGAATTTCTTGTGGAAGGAACGCTCCACAGTATTTTTCGTGGGAAAGTCATCCCACAGTCTTTTTTGTGGGTTCCACAGATTTTTCTTGTGGAAGAAAGAAAAAATAAGTTTAGAATACATAAAACCTCATTTTACGTTTCCTGCCAGTAATTAAATGGAACATCATAAAAGTTGAGTTTAAACGTTATCATATAAAGATACAGCATCCAGGGTTGCTATGCAAGTGCTCGTCGTGTTTACAGTATATAAAAAAAGTAACAAAATGGCCGCCTGCAAGACGACAGGTGTATTCACAGTGCTGTTAAAAACAATGACAAAATAAAGGGATTATATGATTAATAAAGTGGTTTTGCTCTGTGGTAAGACATTTCTAGGATTTCTTTATCAAATACAATCAACAGTTTAACACTAGCTTGTCTGAGAAAGATAAAAAGAGATGTTTCCATATTTCGCGAAAACTGTATACAATTGTGTTACGTACGAGGCTGACATTTAAAGTTCCAGTTTAAGAAACCATTTACAGTATGAAAATAAACAGACAGCAGATATTAAATAGACAAACATTCATTATGCATTTATGACAGCCTCTGTATGTTGAATTATGAGAAACTCTCATCATCCTCATAAAAATATTACTGTGAATAAACATTGAATAAAAGAGAGTAAATAGATAAATTAAACAAAGTGTGGATTTTACATTACAACAGTACAAATCAGGTAAGTTTGTGCAGGAGATGTGACCCTGGTATTACATTACCCCTGCACCTTAAGCAAACTCTTCCATTCCAACTGTCAACTATGATTGGTTTACTTGGTCCTGTAAGTATCATATGATTTTACAAGCTATTTCTGTTATTACAAACAACGTGGTTAAAGTTAGAACAAATTCTTAGAATCATGTCAATACTATAAATTTATTCGCTAGCAAACATATATCGAAGCATTAGCCATATAGCATATATAATTACAGTGCGGGTAGAGACAGGGTTAAATTTTCTATCTAAATTACATACGAAGATATTTTTTAAATATCAATTGAGAGATAACAAGTAATCAATTCCTTTGTGCTTAAAATTGATTCAATCTAATGAAACACTTGATAAGTAGAAATCATAAACACAATAATGATCGTCTAAATTTTAACATGTCGTAAATTTTAAATTAACATTATTTTACATAATATAATAATTACCAAATATTCATTTTTCTGTACGAAACTGTTCTTTTTTGTGATTACGATCAGGTCTCGTCTCTTGTCTTCGTACCTTCCCTCGGTCGTTGTTTGTCTGATTCCCTGTTCGATTTCGCGACTGCGCGCAAGCGTCTTTCTTCATCTGTGAGTCTGTCAACGCTATCTGCTTACCTGACGCAAACTGATTGTCCCCAAGCTTCAATGACTGTGAACGTGGGCTTTTGGCCCGTCCATCGACATCTACGCAACGAAATCATTTCCCAATGCTTACCTCCTCGTCTTCTCAACAGTGCCCCAGACTGCATTGAGGGGAGCCAAGAATTCACTATGGAGATTGGAGCTGCTCTGGTTCTTCTGCGGTCGCTGTCTCACTGTCGTTCTAGGTGGTTCTTGTTGGACGACTTGGTTAGGTTGGAAGGAGATATCTTTCTCATCCGCAAGGTCACCAAGCAACTGGGGCATAATATTCTCATCCATGTTGTTGGAAGTCCTGCGACTTAAACGTCAGGCGTCGTAAGTGGCGAAAAAGCTGACCTGTTGGATAGGGCTGGCGTGTGGGACCTACATCTATTTACTGGCAGGTCAGGAATTCGCAGCTGCGGCGACTTTGGCACTATGGGTGTAGGCCTGTTAGTTGCTGAACCAGTTTCAGCTGTCGGCGTAGTTTGCTGTAGAGGCCTCCCAGTTCCGGCACCGGTTGACGTCGACGGCATGTCAAGCAAACTGCTAATGAAGGCATTAGACTCTGACTTTCATACCTGGCTAGAAGATCATATGGAGGGCAGCGCATGGCTGGCGATTTTGGATTGCAAGGTGAGGCAACACTGTTCGGTGACAAACTTACTTGATTAGCTTCAGTTCCACCCTTTGGAGTTGCTGTCGCTTGGCTCTGGTCGGCTGAGATGGACTGACTGTCCTGCTTTCAGATGTCACACAGCGATAGTCACCCCTCATAGTCTGGCATTGGGTTGGCACAAAAATAGCGAGTGCTCACCTGAAATCGCCATAGCCGCATGGTGCTGCCTTTATACAGTACGTGCCCGTTGAGCTGTCCTGCTAGTGCAATCAAACTACACATTAACATAGTACGGCGTTGGTTCAAGCGCCATAATGGCTTCAATGGACGGCTATTACCCCGATTACCGCCGCCACACACACACAGGGAACCCACGCAAGGAGGGGCCCTCCACAGTGAGCGCACGAAAACATCTTCCTCTTAGGTGTTCTGTTGTCCATGACTTCCTGAAACAATAAGAGATAGGAGATGATAAGTACTTGCTCTTATCACCTACTTCAGGGAATTGACAGAAAATGGTACTCGGCACGCCAACATCGACAAAAATTTTCGCACGGTTTTCCTCAGTACGTTTACTCCACGGCGTCCATCAAACTTAACTCTCGGTCGATTTCTAACGTTTTTGTTTTAAGCGCAAGGAAATGATGGACAAAAGCAATGACAATTCTGTTTATTTATTGTGTTATACGTTTTGCAATTTTACGGGCCCACATTTTCAACTCATCATGATGTATTAACACAAAGTGCCCCAAAAGGTTCGTTAGCACCACAAAATTTATAAGTGACATTTTCTTTA